CCCTTCCTCTGGGCCAGGAGCAGCGGGACAGAAGGTGGCCCAAAAGCCCTTTCCTCTGGGCTGGGAACAGCGGGAGGGATGGTGACTGGGAAGCCCCATCCTCTGGACCAGAAGCAGTGAGACTACGGCTCACAAGCCCCTACCTGTGGGCTGGGAAGAGAGGAACTCAGTACTTTGGTCTGGTGGTCTGGTGTCCTCTGCGTCTTTGTACTGTGGAACCAGGTGGCTGCCTGTCTACAGCGGGGTGATTCCGTATCTTCCGTGCGACTCAGGACCTCGGTAGGGCGTGCACAGACCTGTTTGCAGCGGGCTGATTCGGCGTGTTCTGTGCAAATCAGGACCTCGGTAGGGTGTGCACAGACCTGCCTGTCTGCAGCGGGCTGATTCGGCGTCTTCTGTGTGACTCAGGACCTCGGTAGGGTGTGCACAGACCTGCCTGTCTGCAGCGGGCTGATTCAGGGTGTTCTGTGTGACTCAGGACCTCGACAGAGCATGGGCAGACCTGCCTGTCTGCAGCGGGGTGATTTGGTGTATTCTGCATGACTCAGGAACTCGGCAGGGCATGGGCAGACCTGCCTGTCTGCAGAGGGCTGATTCGGCGTGTTCTGTGCGACTCAGGACATCACCAGGGCATGGGCACACCTGCCTGTGTGCAGTGGGCTGATTCGGCCTGTTCTCTGTGGCTCAGGTCCTCAGGAGGGCATGGGCAGACCTGACTGTCTGCAGCAGGATGATTTGGTGTGATCCGTGTGACGCAGGACCATGGGAGGACATGGCCAGACTTCATTTACGACCATTTTTACACGGTGAAGAATCATCCTCCAGTTACATATCTGATTATGATTGTACCTCTGTAGTTTACTAAATCTAGTAAAGAAACAGCACAGGCTTCTCTTTTCAGCTGCATTTTTGGAAGATGTAGTAGTTGACCTATTTGAAAAATTCCATTCAAAAAGTTCCATTGGATAAGACGACCTCAATGAGTTCATATATGGGTATCTTTGGAGATCTGGACGTTGTAACATCGAAAAGACAGAAAACCATGCTGAGAAAATGATAAATGGCAAAAGTAAGTTGGAGGAAGATAAATCTGGAGAATGCTCAGTTGTAATAATTCCACATGTTGGAAGAAAAGCAATCAAAGTAGATCCACATATTATTTCCCAGCACTTAGTAGTCATCTCTGTGAAGATTCAGCCACTAGAGAAAATGAAGACGAAATGTGTTGTGTGCCACTTAGGACATCGGTAGGGCATGGGCAGACTTGCCTGTCTGCAGTGGGGTGATTTGGCGTGTTCTGCGTGACTCAGGACCTCAGCAGGACATGGGCAGACCTGCCTATCTGCAGCAGGGTGATGTGGTGTCTTCTGCGAGACTCCGGACCTCGGTAGGGCATGGGCAGACCTGCCTGTCTGCAGCGGGCTGATTCGACGTGTTCTGTGTGATGCAGGACCTCGGGAGGGCATGGGCAGACCTGCCTGTCT